TATACGGGCATCCTACTATCTCCGTCGAAAATCTTGCTTCCCATCTATAATATTTATAAGATAAAAATCTCTTTTTGCATTCACTCGAAAGTAAAACAGAGCCATAAGATAGAGTTTCACACTTGTACACCGAGAGGTAGGCGTTCATTTCTAATTATTTCAGACGCAAGAGTTTGTCTTTTTTCTGTGGCATCGTACTCTAACGTCTTCATCGCATTCGTTTGACTTCTGACAAGGAAACTATCGGAACTAATACCGACCGTTTGAGCGCATATTGTGTTGACACGGACGTCTTGTTGAGACTAGCAAAGTCCTGAAAGAGTTCGTTTTGATGAGTCTTTGAAGTTGAGTTACGATCATTTCATTGAACTTTTGATCTAGTTTTAAGTATATAGCGTGTGGCTGTAGGTAGGAGTGTGATTATGTGGTCACTGTTTTGGCTACGGGTGCATTCGATATCCACATCCAGTTTCTATTCACTGTACCACATGGGCACTAACATCCAAACGCAGAATCGCTCAATAAAGCTCATTAGTATATAGATCCACTAAAAATTTCAGTTCGATTCGACGAGAAACTGAGGAAGTTCTTCATTATATCGATCGTGTCTTATGTGAGCTGTCTCTTAAAATGACTGCACTGAAGTCGCAATCAAAGAAAATAAGAATGATTCTTCTCAAAACCTATCTTAAGAAGATATGAATTCAAAATATTACATGGAACCAGGATTCCGTGAGAAAATTCATTTAAGGCGAACTCTATGATATAGCTTTCGTAGACGAAGCATATTTTCTATCGAAAACTGAGAAAATATTGTTTAATTATCCCTATTAGATGGAGAGAATAAGATCTATCTCAAAGTAGATTTCTACGACTGGATTCGACTCGCAAGTGGTACAGATTGAATTTTGAATAATTTCGACTTTTTTTGGGCTGATTTCTCCGAACTTGATCCAGTGCTCTCTATGTACTTTTTTTATGACTGACGTAAAAATCAATGTGTCATAAAGCTATCGGTTCACATTTTATATATAAATACCTTAAAGATGGATCAAACGACTCGGAAACAATTACATAACTTACCCTTATTCTATAAAATAGCACAAATCCACTAAAGCCTAGTGAGATTGTCGTACTTTGGGTGTGAATGTGAAAGTGTTGCTTTGAATTTTCTGTTCAATCACGTCCATTCCATACTCACACTCATACCCACACCCACACCCATACCCGCTTAATATAGCGCACAACATAAGTTGAAACTAGAAGCACTAGCTATCTTTCATCTTGATAACATAAAGAGTCGTCCTCCTTCTCTTCCTCTGTATTCTTAACTTCCCAACTGAGATCTTATAAAGATTGCCGAGCCTTCCCTAGACTCAAAACGTTGTGCCACCTACGATATTCGGTGAATGAAAAGATGATTTGTGAAAGGTAACCATTCGTTATGATCCATTCATCGTATCGATTAGTATAGAAAAGTATACATGCTTTCAATAATCTTCATATAAAAATAACAACTTAGTTTAATATATCAAATATTTTGTTAAGATCTGTATTTTTATTTGTAATTCAAATTCAATAGTTTATGATAAAATAATAATGAACATCTATGAAATATATTTTTCTTTTATTCTTCGTTCGATCGGATGAACCAAATCGATAGATTTATTTTTCTATATTCTAATAATATTAACGTAAGAATAATGTACACGAACTGAATCACGACAAACAGAGTGTACTCGAACATATATTATATAATCTATATAAGCACTTGACTTTAACTAATGGATTTTTTTTTTCTTATGTTATCCATTAATTAAGAAAAGAGAAATATACTTTTGTTTAATATGAACATAAAATATAAACGAATAGAATATTGAAAATAAAGATACAGACTGATTTGTTTATTATACACGAAATCGTACTTGCAAAAAACGACCTTTATATGGCATATTATGTAATGCTTTAATGGATGCTAATGCATCATTCATATGTCGAAATACAACAAAACCATAACCTAAAATTAAATATTTAAATTTATATTTTGAAACAAAAAGTTAACAAAATAAAAAACCTTTTCCAATTGTTGTTCGTTTATTTTTAATAACATCTGTACGAATTATAGGTCCAAAACCTTGAAATATATTTAATACTTCTTCTTGTGTTGTTTCTGGTCCAATACCATAAATAAAAACAACAAAACCACCACTTGATACATCAATTATATTCGATGAAATTAATGATGAATTATTTGAATCTACACTTGAATGTTGACCTGTACCATTATTTAATGATTCACTTGATGTTAATGAAGAATTTGATCTAAATAATTTGACTTGATATTATTTTTGTTTTTCAAAAATAAAACCTATTAAACTTACGCGCCATTTGTCGTTGCTAATGTATCAAGAATTTGATCTGTATTTTTATTTTGTGTTGTTGTTGTTGTTATACCATTATTCGGATATACAACAGGCATTGACATTGTTGATCCACATATATTTGACCAAAAAGGCATCATTAATAAAGTATTCATAAGTAAATTCATATCTTGTCCTTGTTGTTGAGTATTATTTGAATTATTTCCATTAACAATTAAATTTAATTGTGCCATTTGTGCATTAAGAATATCCGATGGATCACGAGTATTTGTTAAATTTGATAATGATGAAATATTATTATCAATTTGTGGTAAATAACGTGCCATTAATTGACGTCGACGTTTATCATCATCAGCAAATTTAACAAGTAATGGACGTTGATGATCAATAATTTGTCCATTAAGACATTCAACTAAGAAGAAAAAAAAACATGATTTCAATTTTGATTTATAAAACAAAAACAAAAGTTGGTTGTTTTTTTTTTACCTGCACGTTGTGCTTGTGAACGAGTACCCATAATAACAAATGCAATACCTCGTGGACTATCTGTTGATTGATCACGAATAACACGTGCTTGAATTATTTCTCCATATGGTGAAAATAATTCAATTAATTTATTTTCATCATATTTTTCTAAAAAAAGAAAAAACAAAAATAATCTCGATAAATTATAATCCTCTTTGTTTCTACCAGGTAAATTTCTTATATAAAGATTTGTACCACGTGTTTCTTCACATTTTGGTCTTGCATAAGATACTTTTATTGTTTTATGTTCCAGTTTTAATTGATTAAGTGTATCAATTGCTATATATAAAATTAAATGAGAATATTAAAAAAAAACTTAAATATATATAATAATTTACCTTTAGCTGCATCTTCAGCTCGATAATAATCAACAAAACCATAACCATATGAATATCCAGTTGCACGATCATACCTAAAAAAATTATCAAAACTAAGATAAATACGTAAGAGGATTGGTTAAGGCATGCCAGTTTTTTGTCTGAAAATTTTCAATAGTTGGCATCATCTTTTTCTTGAAACGTGTTATTTTTCCAACAAAAAGCGGAAAATCTTTTTCGTTTTTTTCTGATCGCATATACTAGAATTCTCAAAGAAACTTCATTGTAGCCAATTAAAAGAGCATGTGAAATCGCAGTGACTAATAGAACCAATTTTTTGAATTAAGTCTTTTCAATATTATATAAAGCAGCACTTCTATAAATAGATCTCCCATTTTTTTATTAACATACCGTGTTTGATCAATTTTTCTCTACTTATAAATCACTGAAGAGAATCAAAAGTAATCAGATAGAATGAGAACTTTATACTCTCTCTAACTGTATATTAAGAATTCTTTCTCTCATTTAAAGTTAGTTCATTGGGAATAAATCTTTGATGATGGACAAAACACTAATTTAAAAAGTATTGGTAAATGTTTGCTCATTATTTGGAGATCTTGGTATCATTGTGAAGAAGTTCAAAATATTTTAGTTACTGATTTACGGGTTAGTTAGATGTAAGCAAATATTTAAATAAATTGAAAACATTGTTCATACTAAACAAAATAGACTTTCTTCTATTATTCATAATTTCTCTGAATGAAATTTTAAGATAGTTTTGAATTTCTAGTGTTGTACATTTTCTCATAATTTTGAGGATGGGAAGAAGATCTTCAAAAGGCTTATATTTACATCAAACGACAATATCGTAATCGACCAATTTGTGAAAACATTTGACGAAATTGTTGTTCTTTAACTGATTGTGGAAGATAATTGACAATTAAACATGTTCGACTATGATCATTTTTACTTAAATTTGAACCATAACCACTTGAATCAGTACCTTTCGTATGACCACTACCTAATGATATATCCGATAATGTATTTATAGCAATACGATCAATTGAATTATTTAAAATCATTTTTTGTATATCAACCATATTAGAAATTTTTTTTTGTTTATTTTTATATGAAAAAGTATAAAATAAGACGTTGCAAGTATGAAAAATTGTTTCGATGAATTTAATTGATATTAATATTGATGATAATTACTAATCAGCCAATAATTTGATATGTCGTAATAAAATGATGTTAAGAAGAGGAAACTTTTATTTTTGGGAAATAGACTCAACAACTGATTAATTGTTACTACTTAGTTACAAAATAATAACTATAATTATTATGCGCGTCATTTTGATATGAGCGGGAACTTTAAATCAAATATTTAAGAAATTTTCTTAAATTTCATATTTAATAGAAAGTAAAAATAATCATCTAATCTAATAATCATATTCTATTATAATATCGATTAATATTTTCATATATATATATATGAAACTATACAGTTTATTTTTACAATAAATACTTATAAATTAGAAAGTTACAATATAAATCTTTATGTCACTGCCATCTGTCTCATTGTCTTTTCTATAAGGTTTTCATCATTCGTTGAAAAGTATCTACCATTAATAACACACAGTATAAGGTGTGAAGTTAACGAATGATTGAAAGCCACAAATAAAACAAAGTGCACTCAAGATAGAATTTTTTCATATGATGGACTATAGACTAATAAATAGAATTGCACATCTTGCATTCTATTATAAATTTATTTACGATGATAGGTGACGTACCTACACGTCTTGTTTCGGCTTTAATACATAATCAAAATAAGTTTTCACCAATACTTGGTTTTCCATTAACATCAAGCAATGCTCGTCAACTTAATTTAAGTATTCATAATAAAGAATTACAAAAATTTGCCAACGTTGAAGATTATGCCAATACTTTAGATAAAAATTTTATTTGGTAAAAAAAAAAAACCTTTTTCTTTTATGATTAAAAAAGAAATCATAATTGTTTATTTTTATAAATAAAATAACATTCAGGTTAGGTGGTTATGGTGAAGAACGAAATATCTATGCACATGCATTGTTATTTTCTCAAGATGATCGTAATATACATTTAGGTGTTGATATAGCATTAAAACCAAATACATCAATCTATGCTCCACTTAATGGACGTATACATAGTTTTAAAAATAATGATAAACCATATGATTTTGGACCAACAATTATTCTTGAACATGAACTTGATGATAATATTCATTTTTATACACTTTATGGTCATTTAAGTTTAAATTGTTTAAAAAATTTAACTATTGGACAATTAATTGAACAAGGTCAACCTGTTGGTGATATTGGAGATAAAACTGAAAATGGTGGTTGGGATCCACATTTACATTTTCAAATTATATCTGATATGGAAAATAGACAAGGTGATTATCCAGGTGTAACATCAAAACAAGATGCATTGATAATGCTTCATAAATGTCCTGATCCACAATTTATTCTTAATTTTCCTGATAAACCGATTATTTATTAAAAATTAAAATAAAAAAAAACATGTTGTTTCTTGTTTTTTTGTTGCTATTTGATTTTAATTAACAATGAAAACTAAACTAAAATAAAATATTTAATATTTGTAGATGGAAGAAAACGAAAATCTAAATAAATTTCATATACAAGAATATGAATGTGGACAAAAAACAAATTTATATCGAATGGATAATTATCAAAATTGTATTAATTTATCAACCATGACAAAAAAATCAAATCTTTCGTTTGCATCATTTTTTCGAGCTTTCTTCTTTCCAGATAATTATCCATTAGGTAATTAAGATATTTATCTATAAAATTTTCAAAATTAATATTTTTTCTTTTATCTAGGTGTTAGTTCTGATTATGGTATCTATCAATATTATAATATAATTCAAACAGGATGTATTGCAATATCAGGTGCATTAGCATTTAGTGCACTTTTTCGTGGAATGGGTGTTGGACAAGATGCATCAAATTATTTAGCTGCTTCTATTGTTTGGTTACTTAAAGATGGTGCTGGTATGATTGGTCGAATTATATTTGCTTGGGGTTTTGCAGCAACATTAGATGCTGATTGTAAACAATGGCATTTTATTGGTGATATACTTAATGATATTGCATGTACACTTGATTTAATAACACCATATTTTCGATCAGTTTTATTAATTATATCAAGTGTATCGAATATATGTCGTGCAATAACATTTGTTATACATGGTTCAACACGAACAGTTATATTTCAAGTAAGATAATATTTAGAAAGGAATGTTAAAGTATTAAATGAAATGAAAATAATTATTACTATGATTAAAAAGCTGTTTGTCCAATCCCTTGTGGGATTAAAAATGTGAAACACGATGTACCTTCTGTTGCCAATCTTATAAAAATTGTTCTTTTTTATGTATATTGGTGTACATTTCTTCATCGTGGCTTACTTTACATGATAGAGCTGAAACAGGATAATACTCCATATATGCTTCAATCATGTGTTAGTTATCTATTATCTCTGATAGTTCCTTGAATTCTTCTTTCAGTCTATGATGATCCCTGGAGCTTGTCTGTCACGGTCTGTGAGGGGGGAAGGGAAGGGTGCAAATTTCTGTCCCTAAACACTTCAACACTTCTTTCAGATCGTGTTTCACAAAATAATATGAGAATGTACTTTCCGTTGGCTAAATTCTTTGAAGACTAGCGTACAGAATTCAGTACGTATTTTTAGAGTTTCTTAATTATTGAATAACTCACTAAGCATAAGAAAAATATCGATATGTGACTATGTAGTTTTGTCGATTGATCTTAAATATGCTATTTATTTTGTTTGCAAGTATATGGAAAATGACAAAAATGTAAAATAAATCAAATGACTTGAAGTTCGAGTGAGTGTGAAGTCTTATTGACAATATTGAACTTATGAATATTTTTTTTCTACATTATAATTATTTTTATTTTTTACATGATTATGACGGATATATTTACTACAGAATATATCATAGAAAGGACGACTCTTGGTTTGTCATTCGTATCTTTCGATAGTGAGCTATCATTTTCAATGAATCACTCAAATTATATACTAGTTAAACCTTATAATTTGTGTAAATAATTGAAAGACATTTAAGGGCATTGGGTACAACTTTGAAATGAAAATAATATTCCTTAGCTAAGTTTTAAATTTTTTTTGGAAAAGGAGGACCTCAAACTTCAAATGTCACGCTCGGTTGTAAAATATCTCTAGTTCAGAAGCTATGAAGAACTAATACTTCAATTTCATATTGTAAATAGAGCCGAATCAGCGCTATATTTTGATAAAAATAAAAAGTTTTCATCTTTCTTGATTTAGAAGTTATTAGTATTTTGTAATATTGAAAATGAAATGTTTATATCTTATCAATCATTCATGAAAAGAGATCTAAATGTGTTGGATGATAAGCATATTTTAAATTCTATTTTAGCATCAAGCACGTAATAATAATGTAGCTGATATAACAGCTAAATGTTCAAGTTTAGAAACAAGTAAATAAAATAAAATAAATTCTTATTTAAAATAAATATTTTTATTTATAATATATTTAGTGGTTAGTCTAGTTGCTTTATTTGTTAATATTATTCTTCTTTCAATTTTACCATCAAATTTAATTTGGCCATTATTTATTATATTAACTATTGGTCATTTATGGGGAAATTATAAAGCAAAACGCTCTATTTTATTTAATGTATTTAATCATCAACGTTTTCATCTTGTTTGTTCAGAATATTTTAAAACAAATGGTAAACAAATTCTTTCTGTTGAACAAGTTAATGATCAAGAACCAATTTTATTTAAACCATTACAAAGACATCATTCATATTTAGGTATATCATTAAATCATATTCCAAAACATATATTTCCATCTCAAGAACAATTAGAAAATTTTCATAATAATGAAGCTGAACGTTTTTTATTATTATATGATAAACAAAAAGATATATTTTATGCACTACTTAAACCATATGCAGATAATGATGATTTAATTCGTTTAAATTTTTTTATTGAATTAATTTCCTATGCTAGAAAATCACCAATTAATAATTCCAATGAAGAATTATATGAAATAATTAATCGTGTCCAAAAACAAATATCTAATTTAAATAATTGTTTAGATATATTACATGAAAATAATAATCATTGTTATGAACAATTTAAAATAATTTGTATTACACATGGTTATAATTTTCATCGATCTCTTTTTAATGTTGATTTTTTTCGAGTTCAATAATATTATTTTTTTTATTTTTTTTTCTCTATAGAAAATCTCGCTTAATTTATTTATTCACGCATTTATAATACTGTACGCCGATGAAACAAATTCTAGCAATATTATTTTTTTCATATATAGAGTTGTTATTTGTTATTTAACATGTTATAGTTTATATTTTTTTGACAAATTTGTTTTTGTGATGAAATAAATAACTTTTAATCATGCTGAATATTGATGTTTTCGATGGGAACTCTTCACAAAAAAAAAATGAAACACTTGATAAAAAGAAAATGTTAATACAAACTAGGATCACCGTCAACATGTTTTAAAACAAGTGAGAGTGAAAGAAAAAAAACGCTGCAGAATTTCACATAACTTTTGGAAATAAAATGACAAAACATAAATGTTAAATATGATCTAGACATACGCAAAAACAACAATAGAGAAAACAATAACAAAAAAAAAAAAGAGAAAATTGTTCATAGTTCTTATCCGTAAAAGACGAATCCATTAAGCTTTCTTCTCTCTAAAACAATCAAATCATAATAATTATATGAATCAATTTTATTTAACTTACCGTCGAGCAGCTAACGTTGATAATACTCGATGACCAAAAAGAAATAATGGTATAGAAATTAAAGCTAAATAACGAATTGTTTGAAACATATCCAAATATTTCCAATAGAAAAACATCAATGCAAAAGCAGCTAAAAAAAAATATTTAAAATTTGAATATTATTTCTTTTCAATCTTAAAATTTTTTATTTACCTCCATGTGATATATGAAAACCTAATGGACTAAGTCCCAATGGTAAACCAGATAGATTAAAACCAAGTTTAAGCCACTATTAACAAAAAAAACAATACAGGTGTATTTAAATCATTTAATAAAAAAAAAAAAAAAAAAAATCTTGTTCTTACTAATATTAAAAGTATTAATAATGGTAATAATGCTAATGTACTAAAAACAAATGCAACAATATTTGGTGGTCGTTTTTCATCTTCACGAAATTGATGAATTATTTCTTGTCTAGGTAAATATAAATTTTTATAATCTTTATCAGGAAGACTATCTTCATGAAATGTTAAATGAACATTATTATTTAATATCCATTCATATGCATTTTGTAATAATGAATCACCAAGAATTAAAACAAGTTCATATTTATCTGATTGATAACGAAAATCATTTGCATTTGTTGTTAAATCCTAATAAAAGAAAATTATTTTTTTTTTTTTTTTTGTGTTTTTGTAATCATTACCACTTCAACTTTATATTGTGAATTACCATTATCTGTTGCTTCAGCTAAATAAATAATTTCTTTTTTTGATTGTTTATTTGTAAAACGTAAAAATGCTTGTTGAACAGGCATAAATTCATCACTTTGTTTATCTTTTATTTGAAATTTTACTGTTAATTTTTGATGATAATCAAGTTCAAGTTTATCAGATTGAGCATTTGGATAAGTTAATCTAAAAAAAATATATCGAATAAAATTATTGTTCAATTCGTTATTATAAACTTAAATTACTTGTATGTTTTAGATTGAGCACCATGATCACGATCGGCAACAATTAATTCAGCATTTTCAATTGTACCTTCTGATGTAACTTTAACATCGATCTAAAATATATAGATTATCATTTGTAACATTAAATTCTCATTATAAAACAAAATTTTTTTTGTTTTTTTAATACAAACTATATTATCAGTTAAACCAATTAATTTTCCTTCATTACGTGCTGTTAATGTTAAATGAATTGTATAAAATCCGCGAGGAATTTTTGTATCATAAAATGGTAATTCATAAACAGAACTAAACAAAAAATTTATTTTTATTTCAAAAATTATTTTATTTTTTTTTTTGATAATTAAACATACAAATCACTAGCTTTTGAAATAAGTTTTTGTTTTGATATAACAACAACTCCATCTTCTTTACGTTTAGCTGATTCAGCAACAACAGACATTTCACCAACAGGTTGTCCTAAAAGATTTGTAATTGAAACAAGTACTGATGGATTTTGTGGACTAATAGCTGATGGACTAATACGACTAACAACAATTGGTACTGGATTCTAAATTACAAAAAAAAAAAAAAACAAAAATTTTCTTTCGAAGAAAAAAAAACGAAACTAATGAATTTTTTTGGTTTCCTACCTTATTATCACATAAATGTTTAAATACTTTTGTTAAATAATAAGCACTTCGTAAAGTAGCAACATGTCGTTTACTTGAAAAATATGTTGCAAATTTTATTAATTGTTTTGGATCAGTTTTAATTGATACACCAGCTTTTTCGGCAACTTCATAAAATGAATTAACAATAAATGCTGTTGTACCAATACCACCTTCATATTGTAATATACGTCCATCAATTTCATCAGCTTGTTGAACAAGATCATTTATTGTATCAGCATAATATTTTGCTATTGGTTGACTTAATTGTGCACCAGTTAATAATCCATAAGCTTGACTTAATATACTATCATCAGTTTTAGCTAATGTATTAAGACGTTTTTCAATATTTGATTCATCAATATTTAAACCAAGATTAACACTTGAACAAACGGCATAATAAATATCAGCTGTTTTACTTTCATCCGATTGAAGAACTGATGTTAAAGTTGAACGATAATCTTCGGCGGGTAACTAAAATTAAAAAGAAGAAAATAAATAAGTTTTCTTGTTTTTTTTTTTTCGATAGATAAATATACTTTGCAATTAACTAATGTTTTCGCTGCTTCAGTAGCATGATATATTGATTCAACATTTGATTTATCAACTAATTTTTTAATATCATTACAATGTGAATCAGGAAGTTGAACACCAAGTTCTTTAACACCACCTAATGTATAATGTAATGATGCTACATCCGAAAATGATTTTATTGCTGTTTGAAATTGAGCTTTTAATCCATTTAAATTAACTATATTTAGATTAGAAGCTATTGTTGAAGTTATATACCAAGAAAATATTGGAAGAATAAAAATAATAATCCTCATTAACGATGTAGACGTCATGATGAATCTGAAAAAACAAAAGAATAAGAAAAAAAAACAAGGTAAGTAGGATATAAGAATATGTCCACTATAGCCGAAGCTGGTAAAATACCGCCATATTGACAACGACAGCATTTGCTATTTTATTGGTTTATATGTCTGGACTAATTATAGATGACTTGGAATTGTTTTCTTTATTCTTTTACCTGTATTACCAGAGGACGCAAGTAGCTATTGAAACAAAAATATTTGTTGACTCTTTTTTTTTTTTTCTAAATATAATCATATGAATAAGATATTATTTATGAAAAAGAGAAAATAAATCCCATATTCATTGTAAAATTTAAACGAAAAACCGAAGTACATGTCAAGGATGTTCAGGATTTGAGCGTTTTTTTTTAGAAATAGATGAGCAGATAAATAAATAAAATGTTGAAACTCCGCTAGAAAGAAAAACGAAAATTTTTCACGATTAGGAGTTGTCACCTGATCGAGACACCTACGGCTCATGTTACTTATTTTCGATAGATACTATAGAAAATATAAAGATCAAAACTTAGTTTGTAATAATAGGTTATCATAATTTTCAGGAAATTCAAATTTCTGTACACCGGTATATAATGGATGATACAAGCTAAGCCATATCACTGCAAGCGTCTAGATGAAATAATTACGATCTATAGCTAAAATTCATTTTCTCACATTCAATTTAAGATCAGATGCTTCTTCATTCTATTATGAAAAGAATATAAAAATATCTATATTTCAGGCTCGAATTAGATTACATTGGATCAAAAAATTTATTTGTATTAGAAAATCATAGAAGATGGAAATAAGTTTCCTCAACAAATCCAATCTCAAAAAAATTAACCATTCTTTCTCTATTCATTGTATGTTAAAGTAGTGTCCTACGAGAGTACGACTTTTCGCAATCAGACTTGAATTGAAAACTAATCAATATCCGACAAATACTTTTATAGTCATAGGATGGTTTTCAAACTTTTCTTTTATATGAAAAACTATACCATTTAATTGCTTTTATAAACAATAATAAAACAAAAGAAAGACTATCTCTTTTATATAAATAGCAGTTTGAATAAATTAAAATATTTTTAAAGCGTTAAGATCTCATTAATTGTCGGAATACATGTCATTTAATTTGAATTTCCCTAGAAATCAAAATTTACGATCTTATAATTTTTAATCTTTGAAAAACATTCGAAACTTCAATATTGTATTTTATATTTTAGGAAAAGTTTTTTTTTCTTTTTTTTTTTTAAATCGTCAAAATTCATTGTAAAGATAAATTCATTTTACTTGAAATATTTCTTTTACCTGTTCTATTTATATATATATATATATGTGAAATAAATTTTACAAAGAAAAAGACAATAGCAAGAATACACAAACATCGGTTATGCTGTCTGTCTAATGGATAAGATTAATTTCATAACAAATCAAAACAAACAAAACAAAACAAAAAAAAACACAAAGATTCGAACTCATGCTTCTTTCTTTCAGCTATGCATTCGAATAAGTAATCATAATATACAATAAAAATAAAAAAAAAGAAAAAAAATAAAGTCAATACAACTACTTGTACAAATGAATAGAAATGAAGTACATAAATTTTGATCGACCAAGATAATTTTATCTATATCTGAGATTAAGAAAAAAACAAAAAAAAAGAAGAAATTATTCAAACCTCTTGAATATATGATGGTGTTCGCAATGGAGGAATAGATATAGGTCGATCAGGTAAAATAGTTGTTGATAATACTTCTGTACAAGCTGGTGTTGATGAAGGACGATTTTTATTTGATGATGAAAATGAATCTATTTTATTCATATGACGAGAAGATCTATTGTATGATGATGATAAAATAGATGTACCTGATGATTTTCCATAAAAATCACGTTTTTTACGTGGAGATTGTATTATCATTTCTTGACTAAGAATAATCAAAAACATATTTTTTTGTTTTTTGATAAATATTTAAATAAACAAACCTAATATCATCAGATTTCTTTGATGATGATGATGATGATAAAGAAGTATTGGTTAATGTTTGAATATTTGATTGTTCTAAAATTTCATCTTGTTTTATTTGATGTTCAACTTTTGATACAACTGAATGAACTTGTACTGGTTCAATTTGTTTAGTTGATAGAAGATTATTAGATATATTTGAAGATGATGATAATAATGATGATTGAAATAAAGATTCTTGTTGTAAATCATTATGTTTATCAGTAATTTTAATAATTTTTATTGGTGAAACAATTGTATGACTATCAGAATTTGGATTTGAAATTTTTTTTGCACGTTTTTGAATAATAAAATCAGTTTTTCGTTCAGATTTAATAACATTATATAATGGTGAAGTATCTAAAATGAAAATAAAGAAAATTCAAAAAAAAAAAAAAAAATTTTTTTTTTGTTGGTTGATACTTTGATTAGATTTTGAATTTAAATCAAAATCATTATCAACAGATGTATTTGGACTAATTGGTAAATAAGATGATTGATTTGTTTTTGTTAATGATTTATTTAAATAATCAATATGATTAAATTGTTGTTTAGTTTCTTGTTGTTGTTGTGTTTGTTTACTCATATTAACTAATAATGTTGAATAAATATTATCATTTAATAATTGTTCTGTTGTTGTTATTTGTTGTTGTCCATTTGTTGTTAAAATATTATTTAAAATACAATTTATTTTATCATTTTCATAATTATATTCAACTATTTCTTTTTCAAGTGTTGCAACTTTTGAACGTAATTCTTTATGTTTATTTGATATATCATTTGCATATGTTATTAATTGTACAGGTCGTTCTAATTGTTCAATACCTAATTCATTTGTACGTAATTTAAGTAAATTAATTGCATCTTCTAATAATATTTTAATATTATTTTCTAAACAATTAACTTTTAATTTTAATGTTTTATTTAATTCTATTTCATTATTTAATTGTTTTTTTAAATGTTGACGATAAATATCAGATTTCATATATTGAAAATAAGTTATAAGACGTTGACGAAATTGTTCTAAATATAAATTAATTGTATTTAATAATTGTTGATCATTTCGTTCTAATAAACAATCATGAAAATGATTTAAATGTATATTATCATTTAATAAATTTGTCATATTTTGATAATTAAATTGTTGATTTTTAATTTGAAAATTTTGATTTAAATGAATAAATTTTTCTGATGCTGTATGTAATTCATTTAATGTTATTTGATAATCTTTATATGATGAACGATGATGTTTTGAATTAAATATTTCATCATTTGAATCATCAGAATCAATATCTAATTCATTATCTGATTGATGTTTTATATGAATTTTACGACCACGTGCACTAATTATTGTTGAATGATTTGATGTTGATGATGTTGATATAGAAGATTTTATTTTACGTTTACGTTTAGAATGATCTTTTAAATGATGATGATGAGTTGATGGTGGTTGATTTTCATCAATTTTTATTGTTGTTTTAATTTGTTGATTCTTTTTAAGAATTGTTGAAGATGGAATAGATGAATTATTTGATGATGATAATGATTGTTCATCATCATTCTGTTTTGAATTACTAAAGAAAAAATTTTTATATTATAATGAACAATAATTCCGATCAAAGAACTCGGGAATATGAGAGAAACTTTGAAACAAAGAAGTCCGATTAGCCGCGACTATGTTCAGTTTCGAATAGGGATACAACATATTAATTAAGATTCTTGCCTTGTTTCTTTATAATCTACTTATTTGTTGTATGAATAATTAATTAGATGAGATAAAGCAGATTATGAGAACATCGACAATATGAGATAGAAATGTTTTATTGAAAGTTTATAAAATTGTCTGTAGGAAGGATTGAATTTTCTATAAAACACTCACAGGTGACCTCCTCCAACGGTTACCTTTTTGCCAGTAGGTAGATGCCGGATCCGATGAGCTAGTCATCGAATACAAAAATTCCATTGAGAATATCAAAGTACGGTTCGAAAATTTTTGAACTCGATAGATCAGCATGTACCGGTGTCGGTTCTATCTCTAGAACGCATCATCTAAGAATGTATCCATCTCAGTACATAACAAATCGAAATGATTTCAACTTATTAATCTAAGGAACTATTCTCTTCTGTACTCAAATACAAATAATTATATATAAATTACAACAAAACATATAATATACTTACTTTATTTTTGATCCTTTCGTATGAATTTGATGCATTTTTTCATAGTAATGTGCTAATTTACTATGATCAATAATATGAAGATAATATTGAACACATTTATCTGACCAACTAACTTTTCCAAGAAATTCTTCTGGTTTTCTTCAAAAATATATCAAAATAAATTTCTAAAAATAATAATTTCATTTTTACTTACGTAACATACATAACAGCACCTAAATCATTTTTTGTTCTATCATTAAGTCGAAATGTTTCAGAACAAAATTCTCTTGATGAAACAATTTTTGCTCCATCTAATAACAATAATAAAAAAAAAATTTCTTAATCTTTTCCTTTTTTACCTTTCATATTCATAAATTTAACTTTTAATTCATGATTAACTGTTGAACCAAATACATAATTATTAGCAAAAATAACATCAGCTTCTTTAATTCTTTCATCAATTTTTGTATGTGTTAAAAAATCTCCATGTTCTAATTGAAATTCTGAATAACGTTTACCATACCAACGCATCCAAAAACGAAATTCATCAGCCATAGCACATGCATATGTTGCTGGAGTTTCTTCATGTTCAATACCATAAACATGTTTACAATTAGATAATGCAGCAATATGTAAAACAACATTTCCAACACCAGAACCAAGATCAATAAATGTTTGATCTTCAGTTAAATTAATTATTTTAAGAATTGAATCAATTAAATCTGGTGATGTTTCACCATAAACCTTGAATAAAATAAAAGTTATATTAAAAAAAAAAAGAAATTATTCGTATTTTTACTGATGGTGAAAATGGTTCATAATCACGTAATTT